TTTTTTTTTGGTACAGGGACCTTCCGGTTTCCGGATCCACAAGGAAACCGACTAATTCGGAATCGACCGGGTAGGACCACAAGGGCGGCAAAACTCTCCCTCAAGAGTTTTAACACGTTCTTTTGATTAAGGTATTAATGATTTTCTCTTTTTCATAACTTAAATATATTTCAAAGTGTAATGAGTTATTTGTGAGCATAGGATTTAAACCACAGCAAGTCTCCGGGTCAATTGAACCGGATAAATAATTTTAAAATTTTTAAAATTATATATAGAGTATTTTGTCATATAAATATACATAAAGTAACAAAATTAAATGTCTTGTATATAAAATTTGTAGACTAAAGTGTTAATAATATATATTTAATGATAAATATTTACCATATAAATGTATATTTTACATAATTTTATTTTTAAAAACAACAAATATTTTAAAAAATAAAAACTAAATAAAAAAAATATATATTGGGACTGGGTCAACCGGGTTGATCCATCCAGATCAATGAGCTGGGTCGACCGGGTCAAGCCCGGCTTAGTCGGGTTTTGGTCGGGTCCTTTGTTGCCCGGTCCAATTAGCCCACTCGGACCGGTTTCGGCTCAGGGTTGACTGGGTCCGGGTCGACCCGCCGGACCTGTCCGGGTCTCAAAACTATGTTTGTGAGTAGACATGGCTCGGGTTGGCCCGGAACTCAGCCTATAATTATAGGTCATATGATCGGGCTCGTGCTACAAACGGGCTTATTCTGGGTGTTAATTTTTTTTAACCCGCCGGGTCTGGACTTGTTTTGGGCTGAAAGAATGGTCTGGACTTTCAGTCTTTTTTATTTTTTTATTTTTAGTTAGTAGGCCGGGTCAAAACTCGATTCTGAATCGAACAACGATCACATTTTCTAATCGTGTCGTTGGATCATTGACTATTGAGATCTAACAACCAGCATCTGCCCGACCCGCATGACCCGTCGGGTTGACCCAGACTCAGTTGGTTTCCGTCCAAAAAAAATATAAAAATAAAAAAATAAAAAAATAGGCTTAGAACCGTCGAAATCGACATGAATTGGCTGTTCGGGCCGGTTCAAGGTCTTCTAGCAAGCGACCCCAAACCGGCGTTTCCGACCCACAGAATCAGCCCAGAACTGGTTTTGGCCACTTCTATTGTGAGTTTTGTTGGAATGAGTATCTTATATTTGAGCTTATGCTCGATTGACTTCATGAAAGCTGTATTCGGATCGACTGATTAAAAAAAAAAAAAAAATTAAACTAGTCATCACTAATACAGAATATTCGTTCGAAAACTTGCTTTATTTATAACCTAAAAAAATTGGGAAAATGAAATGTTTCAAACAAGTTTGACTTTAGTTCATTTAGTAAATTGTTGTAGCTTGTTTAAGATAAATGAACGAACTGAACTAAAAGAACTAGTACAACACTCGTGTATTACACGGGTGTTTGCTAATTTTTTTCTTAAAATTTAAAATTAATGAGAAAAAGTAGTTTGAAAATTTAAATACCTTTTATAAAATATATATATATATATATTTATTATGATATTTTTTATTTGTGCGACTTACTTGTGTTATATTATACTAATTTTTTAACTTACACTATATAACTAAACTAAATATAAATATATCAATTGAGAAATAATTTTATTTTTCTAACGAATTTTAATAAATATTATTATTTTTTATTATTATAAAGATAAATATAATTTATTTATTTTATATATACAATATGGATGTTAAATCGAAGATCATCAAAAGATGATTAATTTGATATATTATATATGTAAAACCGATAAGAAATACAAAAGTTATCTACTTTTAAAATACATTTATAATTCAATAGCTTATTGAAGGAAGCAAATCAAAATTTAGGATATATTAGTCACTTAGTGTCTCACTATGTAAAATTACAAATAATTAAAGGGTTATATTAGTAAAAGTGATATTAAAATACCTAAGTTAGCTAAATAATATTTATGGAATACCCGAACCTAAATTATTAATTATTAATATATTAATATTACTTGTCCAAACCTAGTTACAAAGCATGATTCTTCGCCAAATAGGAATCCGAAGCACCAAAAGCAACCACGTAGACTCAGCGCATTCTATAATTATATAATTATATGCACCACTTTTTATTAATTAAGATAAGATTTGACATTTTGTGTTCAAAAA